CCGGAAAAGCGTGCAGGTCCCCTACCCTCTCGATGGAGGCCAGTGCAAGCAGGACCGGAGTTTTCATTGAAAGAAACTTTAGCTCGACTGACTGCAAAAGCTCAAATGGGCCCCGCTGTAGTGCTTTGAGCACTAGAGACAGGTCCCAAGATGGTATAGAGGGGGGCCAGGGAGGATTTAACCTTCTCACCCCCCGAAGGAACCTGATGACCAGGTCATGCTTCCCTACTGACTTCCCTTCCACAGGGTCATGGTTAGCAGCAATCGCAGCGACATAAACTTTAAGGGTGGAGAGAGACAGCCTTCGCTCCAACCCTTGCTGCAAAAAGGAAAGCACGACCCTGATCTGGCAATTCCGGGGGTCTTCTCGGTGAGAAAAACACCACTCGACGAACAGGTTCCACGTCAAGGTGTAAGCGTGTCTTGTAGACGGCGCTCTCGCCGAAGTGATGGTGTCAACTACCTCCTGGGGTAGGTCACCTAGAACCCCCACGTCACGTCCAGGGACCAGACATGAAGTTTCCAGAGGTCTGGACGCGGGTGCCACAAGGTGCCCCGTCTCTGAGTCAGTAGATCCTTCCTCAGTGGAATCTGATATTTCTGAATGCCAACCTGCACTAAAGACTAAAGTGTCTTAATGTTAAGACTTTTGCCTTTAATTATTTGATTTGTTTGCTGTGGTTTTGTGTTAAATTTTTCAATTAAAGTTTTATTAAAATGTTAAAATAGTAACTTTTTTGTAATGAAAAAAATGCATAAAAATAAGGCTATTATAAAAACACTGAATAAAAAATTGCTTACAAACACACAAACCATTCACAATTGCTAAATTGGGCTAAAATAGAAGGCTCCGGAGTGATACTAAATGAAGAGCCATTTGGGAGCCGTAAGAGCCGGCTCTTCTAAGGGAGCCGAGCCAAAAGAGCAGTATCTTTGAAAAGAGCCGGACTTCCCATCACTACCGTGCCAAAGTGTTCCTTCGGTCAGGGAGTAAAACAACAGGCAGTGAGAAGTCTCTGGAGACGCAAACAGGTCTACCTGAGCGGCTCTAAAACGTCTCCAAATCAGCTGGACCGTCTGGGGATGGAGTCTCCATTCTCCTGGGAGCGTAGCTCGTGACAGCTAGTCAGCTGTATGGTTGAGCAGACCCGGAATGTGAATGGCACGAAGTGACCTCCGAACCTTCCAACTCCAAAGGAGGTGGTGGCGGGCGAGTTGCGACATGCGACGGGAGCGCACACCACCTTGTCGGTTGATGTACGCATCCTTCAAGTCGATCGCTGCAAACTCGGGGGCGGATGCACCTAAAGATGCGTTTCTGCGTCAACATCTAGAACAGTAACCGGTGAAGGGCCTGGTTCAAGACACGCAGATCCAAGATTGGTCGTAACCCACCACCTTTCTTGGGTACAATGAAGTAGAGGCTGTAAAACCCCGTCCTCATATCGGCTGGAGGGACCGGCTCTATCGCGTCCTTCGCCAGTAGGACTGTGATCTCCGCACGCAAGACAGGAGCATCGGCTTTGTCAGCATCCCTCCAGTCGACCAGACACAGCCAGAGATGGCTCTCCTGGACCACAAGTGTGGACATCGCACGACCCAGAGAACTCACGGTGACCTTCGTCGCTCAGAGCGGGAGGTCAGTAGCGTTTCGGAGCTCTTTCAGAACTCTTTCACCTTTTTAACGGCAGTAAAATGTGCCGTCCATGACCTGGTGAGCTCCTCATGAACCTCCGGGAAGAAAGGCACCGAGGCGGGGCGCTGAGAACCAGCGCGAGCCACCCCGAGAAACCAATAGTCCAAACTCGAGGGCTCGGGACGCGGTGGTGGTTTCCACTCGAACCCTACCCTCTCAGCGGCCCGGGAAAGCATAGCCGACATCTCCGGATCCAATTCAGGCATTGCCACCTTCCCGGAGGGCGGCAGCGCAGCCAAATCTTCCTCTCCAGAGAGGTCTCCCTCCGATGCAGTGATCGACATCCGATCGTCGGGAGGAGCACCGAAGGATACCGCTGGTACGCTCTTTGAAGAAGGCCCAGCGCATTCCTTTGGTGGCTCGACTGGTTGTGAAGCGCTAGAGGAGTGATGGTCCCCCGAGGGTTGGTTCCCTGAGGGGTTTGCCACCACTGTAACCCTCAGACCGCCCGTGCCACTGCCCGAAGTAGTTCCCGCATGGCTGCCGCCAGGACGAAGACTAGATCGTGGCAGAGGCAACGGAGCCTGGCCCAGAGCTTTGAGATGGTCATCTTCCCACAATGGGAAGCCACCTCAGCATGTTTAATGCCCAGACACGTGAGGAAGCGATCGTGACCACCACCCGGCGCCAGGTAATGACCGCATCCAGAAACGCACGGGTGAAACGGCATCTTTAAAAAGACAATCCGTCGTCTTTACAAAGACGCACCTGCTTATTGTACTCTTTTAGAGAAATTGGCTCTTTTAGGGAAATGCTCTTTTACGTGCTGAGACGCAAAGGGGAAATGGCCGCTTGCAGCACGACAGGGGGTAGTGCCGCCAAAATTTGACAGAACTTTGTTTTATAGTTCAGAAGATAACTGAAAAGTGAAGAGGACCTTTTTCCCCCTATAAGTGTCTCAACCAATGGTAATTAATCTGAGTAAGTTAGTCCAGGAAGTACTGTATATAAGGAACTCCTGCTTTGCAATAAAACTATTACCAGTTTGATGGAGTTACATGGGCAGCAGAAAAATTTTAACATTTTTTTTACAATGAATCCTTGGACATTTTTCACTGTTCTTTGTATTTTACGTAAGTCATGTTTTATTTAAATTTATTTTACAGTTTTGAAATATTTATTTTACGGCATCTTTAAAAAGACAATCCGTCGTCTTTACAAAGACACACCCGTGTAAGCTCTTTCAGGGAAATGCTCTTTTAGGTGCTGAGATGCACAGGGGAGATGGCTGCTTGCAGCACAACAGGGGGTAGTGCAGCCTGAAGTGCACAACCCACATGACACAGGAACGACCACCGCTGAAGCGCCGTCCGCCAACACAAGAAGCACCCTAGAGCGCACTAAACTCATCACACACGAAGCAGTTGATAGGAGCAGAACGATGATGTCTCTCGGATCCGAAGCGAAAAGCTGGTATGCGTTGCACCGGCTGCCTTTTTATGCTCACGCTGTGATCAGCAGCAGCTGGATGCAATTATCGCATGCCAATGTGCATTGGATCGTTTAGTTTACACTCGAAGTAGATTGGCCTCTCGCAGGGAGATCCCAATTCGTTGGTCACGACGTGACTCGTAGTGACCGACTGAAAGGGAACTAGTGTCTCTAGAGTCTAAAGTACAGGGAGCAAGAATACTGGGATATAAAACCATAGCAGACTCGGGTCCCCACACGCACAACAGCTCCTATGTGTTGGGTAACACACTTCTCTCTGTCCCACAGCTCCAACATTTCTACTCGGTAGAAAGAAATTATTTCCGGAATAAGACTGATTCGAAAGCCATTTTAGTGAGAGTACCACCTCATACGCAAAAAATTGTATGTCCTGTACATGCGTTTCACGAACTTGATGATAATGCTGTCAACAGCTTGCTAAGTCTCTATTAAAAATAGGTAAATGTTTCAGGTTGTTTGTTAAAACCACACCATGACACATGCACAACCAGGCAAGAATAATTTGGCCAGTGTTTAAATTAATGAAGAACTTTTCTTGCTAGCAAAAGAACTCAAATATTTATTTACCCCAAAATGTATGCTACAGCAGTGCTAAGCCAGACCATCTATTATACCCAATTTACACAACAAATGAGCATTGCAAACAAACTTCGATCATGCCCACCATACTCAAGTTGTAAAAACTGCAAACACCAACAACACATTGCTTAGAGTGCAGGTGGTTTGGCTGATTTTAATGGAAGGAGTTTAGTGAATTACTTGGGAGTATTTGTTTAGTATTAGTTAATTTATTGTTCCCTCCTTATGGAATTACCTGTCCAACTCAAGCACTCTCTATTCTAACTCCATTTTATCCATTAGTTTTTGTTTTTTAAAGGCCTCTATCACTAGCTTTCTATTCTATCTACTCGTTTTCTTTTTGCTGTGTGTGTGTGTATATATATATATATATATATAATATATATATAAACCTAACTAGTCTTCTATCACGCTACAATCCATCACACTCCCTAAACTCTGGACACTTGGTAGTTCCTAGGATAGCAAAGTCCACTAAAGGATCACATTTGGCTCCAAAACTCTCGAATAGCCTTCCTGATAATGTTCGGGGTTCAGACACACCCTCTCTGTTTAAATCTAGATTAAAGACATCTCTTTAGCCAAGAACTCACATAATGTATCTCAAAACCTTGTACTACAGTTATACATGATCAAATGCACATTAACATTCTTTTGCTTGGGTTGAACAGCAGGCAGCTACACTAATTTTTCTCCATTACCTTCTCTGTTTCTGCCATGAGATTGGCATCCCGTGGTAACTAGGATTTACACAAGCTTCAGTCTGGATCCAGCCCTTACAAAGACCCGAGATGACCAAACACCTGAGAAGAGATGATGCCAACCCTCAGACAACATACAAAACTACCAAATTTTGCTATAAGTTTGATCGCAACAATCATTGCTGCTGTTAATAGTGTTCACCGTCTGTTTGATTACATGACATTAACTAACTGCTTGATTTTTACTGTACATCTCTGCCATACGGACATCAACTTGAGATAGTCACCGCTGATAAGCTACTACTAAATGTAAAAACTTAAATTTTCTGAAAAGCTGCTTTGCAACAATTTGCATCGTGAAAGCGCTCAACAAATACACTTGAATTGAATTGAGTAGAATATATAAAAAACCTTGCTATGCTAACCGAAACTTGTCATAGCACTTGCATATTATTTCTCTTTTGGTGTGTTTGATTGCTTCAATTGTCCTCATTTGTAAGTCGCTTTGGATAACAGCTTTTGCAAAACGACTAAATGTAAATGTAAATCAAGACAACATTTTATGTTGACCATAGTGAAAATCTTTTATTCATTTAATATAGTGATATTTACATTACACAGACTATAAAACACATTTTCAATTGCAACAAATATAAAATATTCAATATATTTTGTCAGAAGCCTCTTCAAATGCTTAAATGTTTCTTTTTTTTACATTTATAGTCCCTTATTATTAAGAAGCATGAGCACATAGATCAGTATCTGCAGCAGAGTTGCAGTCTTTAGGGAACACCACAAGACCTTGTCCTTATCTCTTTGTCCATCATCTGCTTGTCTCATCTTGTTAGAAGTGGCACGATCAATGGTATGCTTATTCCTGAGATAAACATGAACAACTGCAAAACATGATCATTATAATTAGTTTATTAAAGGTTATGTGGATTAATATACTTAAAGGAAAACAACCCTCTAGGTTTAGTTCACCCAAAAATGAAAACTGTATGCCTTTCCAAATCTATAAAAATTGTTCATCTTCATTCTTATTTTTGTCCATCCACTGAAAATCTATATGAAACGTACGTGTGGTGTGCAAGAACGAACCTCATTGTTTCTTGTGCATCACACACGCACTTGAGCTTCTGTGGTCGGTGCAAATTGAACAAAGAACTGCAAACTGTTACACGATCAAAATTAACCAGGTAAAAATTGCCTTAACTTTCATTTTCCATTTTATTTGGAATACCTCACAATGGCGGACTGATGACAGTTCACTCAGGGCGGGTCTAAGGTAAAACGCTAGTGTCAATCAACAATCATGGGATTCAGATGTCCCGATTCGATTCAGATTCCATTATCTATCTTTTTTTTTTAAAGTTACATTTATGGGCTTTTTATGCCTTTATTGTGAAAGGACAGTGGAGAACTGACAGGAAAGCATTGGGTGGAGAGAGGGGAGCGGGATCGGCAAAGGACCTCGAAGTGGGATTCGAACTCTGGTCGCCGTGAGCGCAACTGTGCTATGTCGATGCACTAACCATAAGGTTATGGGCGCCGACCCGATTCTCGATTTTTTTATTACATTCAGTGAGTATAGTTTTAATACAAATGCTATTGATATATTCTAAAAAAGGAACAGTAAACATTAGTTTGCACCTGGTGAATTAATAAAAAGAATAGGTTTAAAATACAGGTCTGTGGTTATTAATTTCTTTTTTTGTATAGGGTTCTATTTTTTTAAAACCATAAATCGGGCCCTATAAAAAGTTTTTCTTATTTTTTCTGGCAATCAAATGAAGGCATAAAACATTAATTCAAATTATCCTAATCAAATAAATTAAACCCTTTTATTTTTGGCAAACAAAGTGCTGCACAACAGAGGTTTACTGTTAAAATTAAAAAGAAAACAAATGTGATTATTCCTTTAAAAATAAAGTTTTATTAATATTTATTATTAGTAGTAGTAGTAGTAAGTATTGTTGTTACATTGAGTCTTAAGACTGTACAATAGTAATATATTTCTGCCACAATTTCTTCACATTAAACTAAACTTATATTTTGACGGGTTGCCGTGAAGAATTTGCAGCTGCTGTGAATATGATATGACGGTAGTTTTCTCAAATGAAATGGCAAAATGCTAAAGTGACTGAGCAGCTGGAGATGATATTCGTGTGTTCATTTCGTCATATATTAAGATTGTAGAGGCTGAAAACACAGCGAGCATCGTCCGTGCTTTAGTATGTGTGTAGTAAACAAAACAGTGCATCGGTGCCATCCGCCATTCATTCATTGCAGAAATCATGGCGCCTTATGCGTGAAGTCAAATGCTTCCGCAGATTTGTAGCATTACTATAGCATTTCACATGAGCTTTGCAAATCACGCATATTGCTTTGTTCTTGGTTCTTAATGTCAACATTATCTCCGCCATATCTCCGCCAGTATAATAAGCACTGAATTAACTACCTTAAATATCCTTTTCCATGATGGGTTGCACCTGAGTTTGCAGTGTTAAGGTTCACTGAGCCAATCAAATCAATATTGTGTTGTAATTAATCAACAATAGGTCTCTAAAATGTATTAAAATCAACAGTTGAAAGGGTGCCCAAACTTTTGCACAGTCTATTTTTCACAATTGACTTTAATACAACTTAATATGGCTACACTAAGAATTTCTGCATGAAAAACCATCACATTATGCAGCATTCTCTAGAAACTGAATGGCACATCACTACGATCCTTTCTTATAAAGAAAGAGCTAATTAGTAGGCTGCCTCAGAGGGGTGTCCAACCTTTTGCATAAAACTGCATGTCAATCGATATATGTGAATAAAATCTTCTGAAGAGAATCACTACGATGAAAACCCTGAGTAATCTGCTCAGTTCAGATGGATTACACATGTCATTTTGTACTTTGAGGGAACTATCCCTTTGAGAACAGTGAAAGTGTTTAGTAAATGTACCCTGTAAAAAGAAAAAATATAAAAAATCCCATACTACTTAGAAGACATGAACAGTCTTATCCAAATGCAAACTATGCAAAATTAGTAAGCAATGTATACCGTTAAGCTTCTGAAATAAAATTAAATCTGTACATTTGATATGCTTCTGAAAGACTAACCTGAAAAACAGTTCCGTTCATACACCATACATCTTTAAATCTGCAGCCTCCGTTGTGGCCATTGTGACCACAAACAAAGCTAATTCACCTTAAGGAACAAGACAAAAGAAATTAGATATATTCAACGAAAATGGACAGATGCAATAAAACGTTGATAATTTCTCTTTTTTGTGGACATTTTTCTTCCATGTTTACCTTTTAATTGAGAGAAATCTAAAAACTGTGGTTGTCATTAAAGGTGTGAATATTTTAAAACTATTTCTTGTACCATCTACAAAACTAGTTCAAGTTATTTCAGCTTGGAAAAAGTAGTTTCTGCAGCAGTGCTAGTTTACAAAGTAATAGTGCTTAAACTGCAAGGGAGACAAGTGTAGTTGCAATAAAGTTTGATTTTGCAGCAGGTGTCATTTCACGTGTGAAAAGCTGAAAACCGTCTAGGGCCAGATTTACTTACAGCTTGCACTGTAGTTGGTCTATTGGTCTATTTCCCTCTTGCCCTACTTGTTTTAAAGTCAATAAAAGGTCAGAGGTGGGTAGTAACGAGTTACATTTACTTGAGTAAATTTTTTGGTTAACTAATACTTTTAGAGTATATTTAAAGATGGGTACTTTTACTCTTACTCAAGTATATTTTTAGTGAAAAAAAACTGTACTTTTACTTAGTTACTGTGGGCAATGCTCCTCTCGTTACTTTATCTTAATGAAATACAAATTAAAAATGCTTGCGTTTATTGCAAACGCGCAGTCTACTTTTCTCTTGGCAATGAGCAATGCCCATTTGCAAATGATTCATTCTTTTGAGTCAATTCTGTTCAAAAGCTTGATCAAACCAGTTGGCAAACCAGTGAATTGGTTCGCAAATCAGTTTGAATGATTCGTTCAGTTACCTGCCGCATGCACGGAGTAGTCTGAAACGGTTCTTACTCAGAGATGTAACAAAGTTTAAGAACATCAAGAGCATTGAAGACGTGGCTTTGGGTCTACAGTCAATTGAAAGCAAATCTGCAAAGACTAGTTTGCTAGCTATGAAGATCTTTATTAGATGAACACCGTGTGTGCCGTCTACGGTTCCACAGGTAGGCTATAGATAGGCTACATTCGATTACAGTACACAATACCACTATGACATTACCAGTTTGTTATACATGTACCTTATGCATTAAATACAATGTATAATTTATACATTAAATAAGATGTCACAGAGTATGAAATGAACACCCGCGTTAGCGACCTGTTCCAGGAGGAATGCCTTTGCCTAGACACAATTAATATTGATATTTTCACAATATTTACACTGGCAGAAATATATATTTGTTTACATTTTGCAGAACAGATGGAAGAAGATCTGTCAATGTGCATTTGTTTCATTATGTTCAGAAGCGGTCATGTGAGGAGTTTTCACTCTTCTCCGTGTCAGAGATATATATATATGTGCTGAATGTTTCATTTCATCCAAGTGAAATTAGCAAAGCAGTTAAGACTGAATTTACATACATTTTAAACGCGGAGCCAGGCGCGAGTCGACACAGTTTCCGCGCGTGCGTCAAGCCTCGTCCATACTGCCAGATGCGCTCGTGGAGACTTGCGG